CCTAGTCGTATTCCGATTCTCATCGCGTATTTTATTTCAGATTCTCCTGTTTCTAATTATTGCGCTGATCTGCGGCTGTTGTGGACGTCGCCGACGTGGCTATCGCGATGACTGCTGCAGCAAGGGCACGGGAGCTTCCTGTCTCCTACTGTAAGTGCCTACAATTGTTCCTTTTTATACCATAAACTGGACCTTATCTTTATTGTAGCGCCATGTTGCTGATATTCTGCGTATTCTCGATTGTCGTGCTGGTTGGCCTGTTTTACTTTGTTGTGGGTCTGGCCACCTACCAGGGTGCATGTGCGCCGCTGCGGGATCAGGAATCGAATGCGCTGTTCCGCCAGCTGAATTCAATTATTGATCTCAATCGATATTTGCCAAAGAGCGAGCTCAAGTCGGAGACACCGTTGCCGCCGCTGCGCATCTCGAATGCGATTCGGGCGTGTCAGGCTGACCAGTCGATCTTCAAGCTGCTGCAGGAAAATGATTTATACGATATTGACGATCTAGTGCGCTTCAAGGTCATCAGCGAAACGCCTTCGGTGCCCATATCGCTGGCAAATTTGGACAACTTCACCATACTCACGGAGAAGGACAAGCGTGACCTGGCAGAGCTGCGTGGCAGCAATCTCTCCAGCTATCACAGCAAGGTCTTCACTGACGTCATGTGCACTCAGTTGACGCCCGTGGACTTGCCCACAATGGCCAATCAGCTGAAGGAGTTGCGAGCCAGTCTCTGGAGTCAGTGGGGCATTTACGACTGGGCCCGAACCTCCCTTTACAACGAGGCCTATAACCTGCAGAGGTATCACGATGAGTTTGTTGAGAAGATCAAGAGCATTATAAGCAAAATGACGGAGAAGCTATTGAAGATTGACGAACTTATATTATATAACGGAAATGCATTTGGTGAATCCATAAAGAAACTGCACGAATCAACGGAACGCTCAGAAGTATTCCTGCGGGCTCATGGCGAACAGTATGTCAGTGGACTGCGCGAAAATCTGACTAGTTACATCAAGGAACAGGTTGTGCAATATATCGAAATGGTCGTGGACAAGTGCCACGGCAACGTGGGAAAATGTGCGCCACTTGCCCAGGTCTATAATCGCAGTGTGGACTTGATATGCCATCGTCTGGTCGATCCAATGGTATATATACACTTGTATAATACAAAAATATTTATTAATATTTCGTTTTTCTTTTTAGAATGGTTTTTGGGTGGGCGTGCTGCTCTGTGGCGTGCTTTTCCTGCCCGTACTGTTTGTGGCCCATCGTTTGCTGTGCTTATACAAGAAGATTGATCCGTATTCGGCGCCACCGGTTGCCATTGTCGAGGGCGGGTAAGTCGTCCGCTGTTGTTATGTGTCCGGTAATCGAAGAAGAGAAATGTTATGTTCGTTTTGCATGGCCTTGCTTTGAATTGGGAGCTCTGCTTCGAGTCAGCCGAATCAAACATGTGGCAGAGTCGAGTTCGGACTTCGTGTGCATGAATGTTGGTTCGATTGTGTAGTCGAGTTTAATGCAAGTGAATAAACAGATGCATGGCTCTAACTACAATTAAACAGTCAACATTGTGAGCCCTGTATCGAGTCAGCTGAATCAAACATGTTGCAGAGCCGAGCCGAGTTCGAACTTCGTGTGCATCAATCTTGGTTCGATTGAGTATCGAGTTGAATGCACTTGAATAAACCGATGCAGGGCTCTGCCTAGAATTAAACACTCAACATTATCAATTGATTGGCCTAATTTGGAATCATCTCACATGTGTTTCATTTTCATTTCATCGCTAACCCATCGCCACATAATGCACGCAGCAGCGACTATCTATACGATGCCTATAGCGAGCGCGAGCGCGAGCACGTGCCACTGGCCAAGTAAGAGAGAAGGCAGCTACCCAACTGCTTTGATTGATTAACTCCCATTCACGGATCGTGTTTCTTCTGCTGTTTTTTTAGTGTGCCAAAGAAGCGACGCAAGGCGTACGATCGACGACGCGAACAGCAGGAATACTATGAGGATGCATCGCCGAGCGTGTCGCGTGTGGCACGTTCCGGAGCTGGCGGTGGTCCCGGCGGCGTTGTGGATGCAGCTGCCGGCAGCAGCAATATGCGCTATAACGATGTGGCACCCACGTAAGTGCCACGCTGTCGCGTGTCCCGCCTTATAGATATTGCATATAGCTAGAGTTAAGAGTCGTCATCGTCTAACTCGTATAACTAACACGAATTAACTGAGACATAGACAGTAACTGGAATAATTGTGGCTAACATTTAATGGCCGCCGAATTTAATTGCTATTTTTTGGTTTCGTTTTATTTAGCGCTAAAGTTGCGGCTGTAGATACAAGGCCAAAAGCACTGGCGACAGATGGTTTCTTTTAGGCATATCATATCATCCGAAGTGCAAATGGTTTGGTTTACATATCTAGTCTGTATATTATTTGCTTATGTAAAAACTCCAAAGCAGTTTGTGTGTGCCAGTGTGTGTAATGTTGTGTGTAATCATATCATGTTTGCTATATAGCCAGTCCAAAGAACATTAACTGGAAACACCTCATTGCCTCATTCTCAACACATTTCACATTTGCGCTGACAATGTTTCTCCTTTCATGAATAACTACAACTTTGCCCCTTCGATTGCAACTAACTGCTTCTGTTTCTAAAAGCAAAACCACATTTGACCAACAACTAATCGAAAGCCGGCAAGAAAGGCTATTTTCGGCACGCCGAAGATTTAATACCCTTGTAGTAATGTTTGCAATGTTTGCCTAGAGATAGAGTAAAGGAGTCTGATGTTGATAAATGCCAAGGTTGCCAAGTTTTTCATAGAATTCTAGACTAATTCTTTATAAGGCAGCTAAATGGTAAAGTGATCCGATCCGGTCTGTTCCGACATTTGCACTGGCCACAACAAAAAGACGAACATCTACCAAGAGACTGTTGGATATATTGACTCTGCTGTGGAAACTTATCATAGTTTATAGGTCTGGAGATGTCTTCATTCCTGAGCTTCGCACATTTCATGACTAAATTAAAATGCCCTCTGCAAGGGTATAAGAAAACAAATACTAAACGCAGCTGTTGCCTCTCTTTAAATGTTTTTTTTTTGTGTTGTGCGTGAGTCGTCGCAGTTGACGTTGAATCAAATTCCAATGCGATAAGAACTCACATTTCCATATTTATATATATATATAAAAATATTTGTAACCAATTTGAATTTTGCGTACACAGACACTGGGACCACGAGCCGCCGCGCTACCACAATCCGCCCGTGGCGCCGCCATCATCCGAATATGAGCGACCTCCGCCGTACTATTATCCGGGTGCCTCCGACCAGGATTAAGCATTGGACGGCGTTCAAAAATTTGTCGATCTAAGGACTTTGTTGGGCTGGCTTTAAGAGGAGAGATATGGCAAATGACGCATCGATTTCATTTTTGCAACAACAACAACAACCCAATTTTTACTGAGACTGTAATTTTAGTTGAAAGTTAGTTCTTTATTTAGAGTTATGTAATTTGTAGCATCACGTGTTGAAATATTTTCTATTTTTAATTATTATTTTTTTTTTCAATTTTTGGAACTTTATTAGACGACGATCTGCCAGCGCAATGCGAGACAATGATATGAGAGTAGGCGCGAAAAGATTAAAGATTAGTTATAAACAAAAGTAAATCACAATACTCCATAAACAAACACAAACACATATATAAATATATGTATATTGTTAAAACACATTGAAAATGTTGCCAAAAGAATAGCATGAAAAGAGTCGAAGAGTAGGAAAAGCAAGCAATGCGATTGGGTTGAAATCTATTTGAATATGCACAGCTAAAGCATTTAATAAGTTAATGTTCAAAACAACAGCAACAAAACAAACAAAAAAGAAACAACAAAAAGACCACAAGAAAATATCCCAAAAGAACTCAAGAGATAGATCTCACAGCTCTCATGAACTTGAATGTAACCCATAATATTATTGTGCACAGCGTTTGCAGCCCCACAATAATCAAAACGATATATATATCTATATATATATTAAATCGCAGACCCGATAATTTTATGGAACGTCAAGTATATATATATATAAAATTAAAACCAGAACTGCCATTTTAATTTAGTGGATCAGAGCAGCAGGCAAAACTCACACAAAAAACTCTGTCTGCCATTTTTGATGCATTTAATTTACGAGTGTTTGTATTTATTTTCCAAGAAACTAATACACACACAACCAGACTTCCTTACAAAAAAAAAAAAAGAAAAAGAAAAAACAAACCCCAAGAAATCGACGCAATGAAACTTTATAATATGAACGTGTACTTTGAATTGTCATAGATTTAGTAAGACAATGTTTCAATCTCTACTAAATACAAATGTTTTAAATTATATAAAAAATGCTGGGCAAACTGCAAGTAGCCAAAATAATAATTAAAATTAAAAAAGAAAGAAAAAAGAATTAAAAAAAAAACTAAAAATTTAAAACAAAAACAATGCACACATACACACGTATTAAATATGTATTTTAGTTAAGCATTATCTATATAAAAAAAAAAAAAAAAAACCGAAAAAACCAACAAGTATTTATGAATGTATGTAATTTTCATATTATTTACGTACATCTCATGAATTTTCTGCCTATGTCATTTTTAGTGTTATACAATAAGCCAATAGTATGGAATCAAAGTTTTAAAGCTAACAGAAAACCAATTACTGTGAAAATATAAATACAAATAAAAATTACAACAACAAAATGTCACTATGCTAAGTCTGGAACTCTGCGATAATTCGGAGCACAGGTTCAACTGGAAGCTTGATGTCCTGGCTGGATCATGACTGGATCCAGGCAGACAGATCTACAAAAATACCTTTAACAAATAGGAAAACAATTAACGTCAAGAGGACTCGCCCGCTGCCGTGGTCAAGTAAATATTGTAAAACGATTTGTAGACCATATTTGAACTTTCATTCCAGCTCAGCTCGAGCCAGGCCGCCTTTGGCAGTCTGTGTTACAATTGTCACAGCAAATTCTAAAAATTCATCGAAAAATGTCATACATCTCATCAGTAATACAATATCAGTTGAACCGTGCCGTAGCTCCTGCAAATTATCTAATAGATTGTGATGACACCTTATCTTAAAGCGCTTAAAATTTAAATCAAGCTGAAGAGGAATTAGATGCGAATATTCTTGCTTTTCGTGCTGGTGAGTAAACTCCGCCTAGCTGCTTATTCTGATTGTAGGTCTCTATTTTATGCATTAAACATTATGCTGAACTGTGTGTTGATTTTATAATCACAAATGTTATGGCCACAAGGCCATAACTTTTCTAGATTCGACAGCATTGCACCAAGTTATGGTCATTTGTATGCTTGTTCTCCCATATTAAACTTTTAACTTAACTTTAACTTTATATATGTTCACAAATATGTCCTTGTGTGTGCTCACATTTTTCTCTAATACCAAAGGCAGACAAGGTTAACTTTGATAGCTACGACCCCCACTGCGTTGCAAATTGAAATGACGCCTTCCTATGCGATTCTTATGAAATTAAGTAGGGCTTACATGTTTTCATGCTTTGACAATAAGTAAATATCAATCTTACAATTTTTGCTCACTCTCTCTAGCTTTGTCTCTCTCTTTCCCTCCTCTCTTTTGTCTGATTCTTATTTCACCCTCGTTGCAAATTTATATGATGCCCTTCTCTGCGATTCTCATGAATTAAGTAAATATCAAACTTATACATTATCTCTCTCTTTCTCACGCTATTTCCCTGCTCTCTCTTGTCAGCTTTATTTCTCACCCGATCTCTACTTTTGTTCTTTTAGTGATGCAAATCTCTCTCTCTTTCTCGCTCCTCTTAACAACTCGTACGTTTGTAATTTTTGGGTAAGCACACGATGACATATGTGTATATATAGTATGTTAAGGAAATTTAGAACTAAGCACGGTCTGGTATATGCATATACATATCAAGACCTGCGAGCCTGGCATTATCCCTTAACTGATTAATTCAAACGGAAATTACATGAGAATGCCACGAGATTCATCCAATTACCTGAAGTCCAGGACGAAACGCCGCAAAAGCGTGGCATCTTTGGCAATATGCGGCATCAGGATAATATTATTTGGCTGCGCCTTGTCCACGTTAATGAGGCCAACTCACGCAGTAGTCAAAGAATTGACAGCCGAAGAGGGCAGTGTCATAGAGCCGCGCTCGGACCATGCCAACGCCGGCGAGCATCTGGGACATCTTCACTTTCCCTCGACAGATTTTACCCCATTCGGATCAAAGGCAAACTATACAGAAGAGACAATTTACTCGACTGCGTTCACAGATAGTCTGCACAGTTTCACCCACAGTCTATTTGATAAGATCGTAGTCAGACGGCATTCAATACCGCCCGGTGAGTAGATTAACAAACTTTAGTTGGACCCGTCGTAAGAGCTGCTGCATTGTAGGCTACATTGTGGTCAAGAATGGCGACACTTTCGCTCTGGGACCCAACGTGGACAAAAATGATTGGCACACTCTTCTAGCGGAGCATTTTGTAGCATTCCTCTTGGTGATATTTCTGCTCATCCTTATAATTATCATGCCTTTTTTGGGGTGAGTATGCGTAAACTTACAAGAATTCAAGTGAAACCGTGCTGCGAGCCAGAGTTTGAACCAGCGCCCGGTTCAAAACAGGCTTGATGCCTTGCTGAATAATATATTTATACCCTGAATCCATTAAAAGTGGGTAAAAAGGGTGTAATGTGTTTGTGCAAATGTATCTAACAGGCAGAAGAAAGCATTTCCAACCCCATAAAGTATATATATTCTTGATCAGCTTCAACAGCCAAGTCGATCTAGCCAAGTCCGTCTGTCTGTCCGTCCATTCGTATGAACCCAAGGAATTCAGAACCTAAGTATAATATCTAGAGATTTGAAATTTTAACTTTTTGAGAGTATACAAATGTATAGTACCATAGTACAATAAGATCTACTGGCCTCATGTACATGTTTTCAGAGGATTCCCTAGTCCAGAGCCTCTTACTGGTTTTATCCTGTTACAGGGTCTGCTATTGCTGCTTCTGCTGCTGTAAACGTTGCTCACAAGGATGTCCGTTCTGCGATAAAAAGGACGACGATTGCAGACGCTTGATCTGCGGTATTATACTCGCCATACTTTTAATTGGAGTTCTGTAAGTCTTGAAAGCAAAGCGCCTCAACACTTAGATTACCTTAATCCCTTGCCAGTTTGGGAATGATCATTGCCATTGCCTCGAATATATTATTGGACCATGGCTTTGAATACACAAGAGAGACAATGCGTCGCGCCAGCCAAGACACTTGCACCTTTCTGCACGATACATCCAACCATATTCAACATTTGCTTGTGCGTAACTATCAGGAGATGGATACGCATATGACCGATATTTTAATGAGTAAGATTCCAATTTATAGAGTTCAATTTATTTTTATAGCCCTAAAGACATTGAAATGGGCGATATGTAAGAGGTAGAGTGCATATGTTCCATGATTAGGACAACAAGCTGTGTAGATCTATCCGATTCGTTTGTCCGTCTGTAAAAACCTAGAAAAGCTCGAGACTAACAATGTCATATATATATTCGCAGAATGAGCCCCTTTTGATGCATAACTCAAAAATTTAAGAGCTTAGCAGAAATCTAGTGTTTGGGTTCTTGTATTATATACACAGCTACGATATAATTTAATTTTTGCAAAACTCTTTCAGTTCGCCGTAGACTTTGGTATAAACACACTTTTGTATGCCATATTTAATCCTTCGAAATTTCATAATAATCGGACTATTAAAGCCCGAGTTAATCAAGAATTCATTTGCCGTGGAGTGTGGTTCAGGGATAAAGCACAGTTTCTGCTTTAAGAGAGAGGGAAGCTAGAATGTTTTTAAGGGTAGCTCGGCTCAGGGTATTCTCTAGTCGGACACTACCGACTAAAGTCCTCTCCGGCTAGTCGGGTATTTATATTTTTCATATTTTTTCAGATGCACATCATCACGTATTCCTGGACCTGTTGCATAGCTCGCAGGCCAATGTATTGTTTGATATCGAGCGCATATTGAATAGCATGCCAAATGCGTTGATTCTGTTCCGGGAAGTGCACAAATTGGAAAAGGATTTGCGTTTCTATGGCGCACAGCTGCGAGATGGTAAATAATATTCGACCTTTGGGCTCTTTATGATCCGTTTCTGATTTCAACAGGATTGCGTTCTGTTAAGCGGGACCTGTCCTTTGCCCTTGCTGCACTGTGCGGCAATCGGGATTGCCTGAACTTCTTGAAGAGCTCGAATATCGAGACGATGGATACCTCCAAATGTCTGCACTTCGATGAGGTATTGATTCTAGTTTCTAGGCAATGTTAAATCAAAGTCTTCTCTTCCTCTCTCTCTCTCTCTCTCTTCCGCAGCTGCCCGTGTCCTCCAAGTATATTCATTTGGTCGATGAGCTTATTCACAACGATACGGCAAGAATACCCAACGACGCAATTGATCGTCTCCAGGCAATAGGGGTATACATTAAGCAAGCCATCGATCCTGTGACCCCGCCCTTAATACGCGATCTGCACGAGGGCATCACTCAGTTTCACAACCAGGCCCAAAATATGCGCAATATCATCGATTCCGTGATAAGCCACATTCACTTTAAAACGCTCAAAGGAACCAAGTCGCTCGACGATGTCTACGACAAATTTGGGGTCTATCGTAGAGGCACCAATCTACTTATCTGCGTCATGCTGGGAATCGTAAGTGTTCTAACCAAGTTTAGTTATTACTATTAACAGAAGCGCAAACATAAAACAAACTTTTGGGGCGCAATTCCACTTTATAGCATAAATCTAGCCTTAAATATATTCAAGCATGTTTTTTAGATCCCAAATTTGGGTTACAATTTAAGATTATTTTCAGCAGAGCCCAAGGCAGGGCGCTGGTTCAAATACCTAGCAGTGTTTCAGGTGATCTAACAAAATGTATTTCCTTTCAGGTACTCTTTCTACTTATCCTCGCGCTGATATTCGGCTGCTTTGGGCGCCTCAGACATAGCCAGGCCGTGATCTTCTGCAGCAAGGGCACCGGAGCTATCTTCCTGTTTTTGTAAGTGTATGGAAGGAGTTGTCGCAAACGAAGAGACGTCGCTAACATGTCCCCTTTCCTGTACACAGCGCCATAATATTGATATTCTGCGTGTTGTCGGCCATCTTGCTGGTTGGCCTATTTTACTTTGTCTTTGGCCTGATCACGTACCAGGGCGTCTGTGCGCCGTTGCGGGATGAGACAAAGAACGCGTTCTTCCGCCAGATGGACGCGACCATTGATCTGCAGCAATATTTTCCAAAAAACGATTCGAACTGGCAACCACCCGCACCATTGCACATTTCAGCTGCCATCGAGGCGTGCGAGGCGAACGAGACGATTTTTAATCTGCTGCAGCGGAACAATTTGTACGATGTCAACGATCTGGTGCGCATAGAAGTTATCGCAGCTCATCCAACGCCAAATGGAACCATATTTCCGGCGAATGTGTCCACCTATGAGGTGCTCACCCAGCAGGAGAAGGACGGTCTTAATGTGGCGGCGCAGAGCAATCTGTCGGACTATCACAGTTCGATATTCCTAAAGCATTTGTGCAAAACGGTGGCACCCGTCGACCTGCCCAGAATGATTACTCAGCTGAGAGATTTGCGATCCGGCCTGCCCAGCGTTTGGGGTATCTACGACACGGCGATAATTGCCTTGGGCAACCAGGCATTCGCCCTGGAGAAATACAACAAAGAGCTCGCGGATAGGGTTCGATCTACTCTCATTAAAATGACCACGAAACTACTCGAGATCGATAGACTTATACTGTACGAGGGCAGACCGTTCGGCGAGTCTATCGAGAAGCTAATCCAATTGGCGGATGCCTCCGAAGTGTTCATCAGAAATTCGTCCGAATCGTTTGTCAATGGACTACGGCAGAATCTCTCGGTTTTTCTTGAAGATGAGGTCGCCAACTATATCGAAAGGGTCGTAAATTTCTGCAATCGCGATGTTGGACGCTGCGCACCACTTGCCTACATATATTACCGTGGTGTGGACCTGATTTGTCATCGACTTGTCGATCCTATGGTAAGCTGATCACATTTCACACACATACACATCGTTAACAGATTGTCTCGAAGCCCAAACACCTTGTGATAGGGGGTCGAAGAGGGGTGAAGTTGCTGGATCAAACTCATTTTCAAAAATATTTCTACAAATTCATTAGACATTTGCTTTACGCTCTTCGCACAATAATTTAAACGAAAGTTTAGTTATCGAGAGGTTCCACTCTCTCTTCATTTTCAAGTAACTTATTATTTATGTTTCTTGATTTATTTGTCTATTTTCCTTTTCGCCGTAGAATGGCTTCTGGTTGGGCGTCCTGATCTGTGGCGTGCTGCTCCTGCCCATCCTGTTTGTGTCCCATCGCTTGCTGTGCCTGTACAACAAGATTTATCCGTCAGCAGCTGTCGCCGTGGCCGCGGGCGGGTAAGTCTTACGTCTTCTGTCTAGTGCTCCAATTTCAGTCAACGCTGTCCAACTACTGCCCAAAGCTGTCCAATCTGCACAGGCGGCGGCCTACCTGGATTACCTCTATTGCCAATTACCTTCGGTGTATGCAATGAATTGGATGACAATCGTTATACGGATAGAAATGCTGCCGTCAGGTCACCAGCAGCTGCTGCGGAGGTCGAGAATTCGGAGTTGGTGTTGTCGATGAGCAGCAAGCATAAACAAGAATAACAGATTACAATTTAACTAACACCATATTTTCTTGCCCGTTCTTTAAATGTATATTTAATCGAATGTTTTTTCTGCATTGTGAATATAACTAAAGTAATATATTTTTCACATAATCAAATGTACGAACTACAGGCAATATTTAATACCAGGCACACAGAATCGACAAATCATTTATTCGATGCTAAGAGTTGCCGCTGCTGCTCGCCTGGTATACAAAATAATAACTTGACTGCAGTCAAAATAAAATACCAGGCGAACAGAATCGACCGTTCGTTTATGTGACGCTCCTGTTCATCTAAGAGCTGAGCCTTCGGCCTGCTGTTCGCCTGGTATACAAAATAATAACTTGACTGCAGTCAAAATGAAATATCAAGCGAACAGCAAAGGCAGCTTCCTAAAGTCAATGAAATACCAGGTACAAGAGATCAAGAAAGAATTGATTTGATTACTCAGCTTATTCTTACTTCACTTGCTGAGCTGAGAAAAAAGAGCTGTCATTGCTGTTCGCCTGGTTTATTTCGACATATATATTCCCAGTTTCTTATCTTTTTCGACCAGTGAGTGGAAAGCTGTGCTTTAACTGTCACATCAAATCCTAGCTGCTGAACTCCTGTAATACATTTGTTCAGTTTTACGAATATATATCTTTTTAGTGTTTTTTACACACAGGTGAGTTTGACATACAAGAGAACCTTTGTCGGATCACGACCTTTGGGTCTTCTTTTAGTTTATTTTACAGCATTAAATCGTGTTGGGCAATTATCAAAGCGCAGCAGTCTTGGGTGTTGGCTGGCCACATTTATAGGGCCAGGCTGCAGAATGGAAATGGGTTCCTTTAAGTGGCACATTGGCTCCGAGGGACATGACACCACTCATGAGAAACACTATCCGAATGCCAGGTTTAGCCAATGTAGATCGGAGACACACTATGACAAAGAGCCTGACTTTTCCGTTTTGGCTCTGAGGCCCATTTTTCACTTAATGCACACCATGTTCGATAAGCTGCATTGGACCGAACTACCATCGGGTTTGTAATATTTTATTATATTGTATTAAGTTTGCAATCCATTTCGCATTTTAGGCTACATTCAGGTCAATTACGATATGTCTTTCGCCTTGGGGCCCAAGGTGTTGCGAAATGATTGGAACGAGTTGTTGGCGCATTATTGGTTGGCGTTCTTGGGTGTGGTTTTTATGATCATTCTCATTATTATCACGCCCCTCATAGGGTGAGTATTAAATAACAGCAGTGATTTGAACCAGCGTCCTTTCATATACAACATGAAACCCTTTCATACTTTTCGTCCTGGCACAGCGTCCTTTATTGCTGCTTCCTTTGCTGCTGTCGACGTTGCCCACAAGAATGTGAAGCAGGATCACAATAGGGAAAATAAATAGTTGTACCGAGTTTTGGAAAATTCCACCTGCAAGCGTGAAAGAAGCGCGGAAAACGTTTACCATACGATTGGACTCAAGTTCATTATCAACAAAAATCTTTGTGCTAATTCATTTTAGCAGTGTTTCACACCTTTAGCAAAGTGAACTGCTTGACGGAAATGTGGTTCAACGTTTCGGCAGGTGAGGTTACTAGTTCAAACTCATTTAAGCTCAATCCCTCCTGGCGATTTCTCCCAAGTGGAATAAGATTATTCTAACTTGGTTCCTTTGACCTTTAAGCACATTTTCATGAAACCATATATATACCCTATACATTTGTTAATACTAGTCCTATTTTCTATTTGTAGAATGGCTTCTGGTTTGGCTTGTTGCTCTGTACCCTGCTCTTGTTGCCCATCAAGATTTATCCTAGACCAGCTGTCGCCGCTGTCGAGGGTGGGTAAGTATTCAGCTTTCTGCTAACTAGTATAGCATTTAAGTTACAAAGTAGGACCTCAGAGATGTGAAACCGAAGTCGATCTGGAAGCGACTACGACGGAAGCAGCAGCAAGCACCAACACGAATAGCAAGTGCCAAAAATTTACACTCGAAAATAGCAAGTTTTTCACACGAATTAACAAATGTTTCTTTAATATAATATTTAATTAAATGTAATCCAAGTAGCAGTTGTCGCAATGAAAATACTGCTTAGAACATTTTAAATCGGCCAAATTGATCTTGAAGCCAAATCATGATCAAAAAGCCAAAACTCGACCGAGTTATACGGGTGGGAAATTTCGACCCATATCTATATACGAATCCTAGGGTTAAGATTTTGACATGAATTTCGACCCAAAAATTTGTGTTCAGATTTGAATGCCAGCTTTTTTTAGAGGAAAAATCATGAACAAAATGTCAAGCCTCATGAAATCGGTTGATTTTTGGCCGAGTTATGGGGGTGAGAAATTTTGACCCATATCTATATAAGAATCCTAGGGGTAAGATTTTGACATGAATTTCGACCCAAAAATTTTTGTTCAGATTTAAATGCCAGATTATTTTAGAGGGAAAAACATGAACAAAATGCCAAGCCTCATAAAAATCGGTTGATTTTTGGCCGAGTTATGGGGGTGGAATATTTCGACCTATGTCTACATACGAATCCTAGGGGTAAGATTTGGTCATGAATTTCGACTCAAAAATATGTGTTCAGATTTAAATGCCAGATTTTTTTAGAGGGAAAACCATGAACAAAATGCCAAGCCTCATGAAAATCGGTTGATTTTTGGCCGAGTTATGGTAGTGAGAAATTTCGACCCATATCTATACACGAATCCTAGGGGTAAGATTTTGACATGAATTTCGACCCAAAAATTTGTGTTCAGATTTAAATGCCAGATTATTCTAGAGGGAAAACCATGAACAAAATGCCAAGCCTCATGAAAATCGGTTGATTTTTGGCCGAGTTATGGGGGTGGGAAATTTCGACCCATGTCTATATAAGAATCCTAGGGGTAACATTTTGACATGAATTTGGACCCAAAAATTTGTATTCAGATTTAAATGCCAGATTTTTTTAGAGGGAAAACCATGAACAAAATGCCAAGCCTCATGAAAATCGGTTGATTTTTGGCCGAGTTATGGGGGTGGGAAATTTCGACCCATATCTATTCTAGAGGGAAAACATGAACAAAATGCCAAGCCTCATGAAAATCGGTTGATTTTTGGCCGAGTTATGGGGGTGGGAAATTTCGTCCCATATCTATATAAGAATCCTAGGGGTAAGATTTTGACATGAATTTCGACCCAAAAATTTGTGTTCAGATTTAAATGCCAGATTATTCTAGAGGGAAAACCATGAACAAAATGCCAAGTCTCATGAAAATCGGTTGATTTTTGGCCGAGTTATGGGGGTGGGAAATTTCGACCCATGTCTATATAAGAATCCTAGGGGTAACATTTTGACATGAATTTGGACCCAAAAATTTGTGTTCAGATTTAAATGCCACATTTTTTTAGAGGGAAAACCATGAACAAAATGCCAAGCCTCATGAAAATCGGTTGATTTTTGGCCGAGTTATGGGGGTGGGAAATTTCGACCCATATCTATACACGAATCCTAGGGGTAAGATTTTGACATGAATTTCGACCCAAAAATTTGTGTTCAGATTTAAATGCCAGATTATTCTAGAGGGAAAACCATGAACAAAATGCCAAGGCTCATGAAAATCGGTTGATTTTTGGCCGAGTTATGGGGGTGGGAAATTTCGACCCATGTCTATATAAGAATCCTAGGCGTAACATTTTGACATGAATTTCGACCCAAAAATTTGTGTTCAGATTTAAATGCCAGATTATTCTAGAGGGAAAACCATGTACAAAATTCCAAGCCTCATGAAAATCGGGTGATTTTTGGCCGAGTTATGGGGGTGGGAAATTTCGTCCCATATCTATATAAGAATCCTAGGGGTAAGATTTTGACATGAATTTCGACCTAAAAATTTGTGTTCAGATTTAAATGCCAGATTATTCTAGAGGGAAAACCATGAACAAAATGCCAAGCCTCATGAAAATCGGTTGATTTTTGGCCGAGTTATGGGGGTGGGAAAATTCCACCCATGTCTATATAAGAATCCTAGGGGTAAGATTTTGACATGAATTTGGACCCAAAAATTTGTGTTCAGATTTAAATGCCAGATTTTTTTAGAGGGAAAACCATGAACAAAATGCCAAGCCTCATGAAAATCGGTTGATTTTTGGCCGAGTTATGGGGGTGGGAAATTTCGACCCATATCTATACACGAATCCTAGGGGTAAGATTTTGACATGAATTTCGACCCAAAAATTTGTGTTCAGATTTAAATGCCAGATTATTCTAGAGGGAAAAACATGAACAAAATGCCAAGCCTCATGAAAATCGGTTGATTTTTGGCCGAGTTATGGGGGTGGGAAATTTCGACCCATGTCTATATAAGAATCCTAGGGGTAACATTTTGACATGAATTTGGACCCAAAAATTTGTGTTCAGATTTAAATGCCAGATTTTTTTAGAGGGAAAACCATGAACAAAATGCCAAGCCTCATGAAAATCGGTTGATTTTTGGCCGAGTTATGGGGGTGGGAAATTTCGACCCATGTCTATATAAGAATCCTAGGGGTAACATTTTGACATGAATTTGGACCCAAAAATTTGTGTTCAGATTTAAATGCCAGATTTTTTTAGAGGGAAAACCATTAACAAAATGCCAGTCCTCATGAAAATCTGTTGATTTTTGGCCAAGTTATGGGGGTGGGAAATTTCGACCTATGTCTATATAAGAAACCTAGGGGTAAGATTTTGACATGAATTTGGACCCAAAAATTTGTGTTCAGATTTAAATGCCAGATTATTCTAGAGGGAAAACCATGAACAAAATGCCAAGCCTCATGAAAATCGGTTGATTTTTGGCCGAGTTATGAGGGTGGGAAATTTCGACCCATGTCTATATAAGAATCCTAGGGGTAACATTTTGACATGAATTTGGACCCAAAAATTTGTGTTCAGATTTAAATGCCAGATTTTTTTAGAGGGAAAACCATGAACAAAATGCCAAGCCTCATGAAAATCGGTTGATTTTTGGCCGAGTTATGGGGGTGGGAAATTTCGACCCATATCTATACACGAATCCTAGGGGTAAGATTTTGACATGAATTTCGACCCAAAAATTTGAGTTCAGATTTAAATGCCAGATTATTCTAGAGGAAAAAACATGAACAAAATGCCAAGCCTCATGAAAATCGGTTGATTTTTGGCCGAGTTATGGGGGTGGGAAATTTCGACCCATATTTATACACGAATCCTAGGGGTAAGATTTTGACATGAATTTCGACCCAAAAATTTGTGTTCAGATTTAAATGCCAGATTTTTTAAGAGGGAAAACCATGAACAAAATGCCAGTCCTCATGAAAATCGGTTGATTTTTGGCCGAGTTATGGGGGTGGGAAATTTCGACCCATATCTATATACGAATCCTAGGGGTCAATTTTGACATGAATTTCGACCCAAAAATTTGTGTTCAGATTTAAATGCCAGATTATTCTAGAGGGAAAACCATGAACAAAATGCCAAGCCTCATGAAAATCGGTTGATTTTTGGCCGAGTTACGGGGGTGGGAAATTTCGACCCATATCTATACACGAATCCTAGGGGTAAGATTTTGACATGAATTTCGACCCAAAAATTTGTGTTCAGATTTAAATGCCAGATTTTTTAAGAGGGAAAACCATGAACAAAATGCCAGTCCTCATGAAAATCGGTTGATTTTTGGCCGAGTTATGGGGGTGGGAAATTTCGACCCATATCTATATACGAATCCTAGGGGTAAGATTTTGACATGAATTTCGACCCAAAAATTTGTGTTCAGATTTAAATGCCAGATTATTCTAGAGGGAAAACCATGAACAAAATGCCAAGCCTCATGAAAATCGGTTGATTTTTGGCCGAGTTATGGGGGTGGAAAATTTCGACCCATGTCTATATAAGAATCCTAGGGGTAACATTTTGACATGAATTTGGACCCAAAAATTTGTGTTCAGATTTAAATGCCAGATTTTTTTAGAGGGAAAACCATGAACAAAATGCCAAGCCTCATGAAAATCGGTTGATTTTTGGCCGAGTTTTAGGGGTGGGAAATTTCGACCCATATCTATACACGAATCCTAGGGGTAAGATTTTGACATGAATTTCGACCCAAAAATTTGTGTTCAGATTTAAATGCCAGATTATTCTAGAGGGAAAAACATGAACAAAATGCCAAGCCTCATGAAAATCGGTTGATTTTTGGCCGAGTTTTGGGGGTGGGAAATTTCGACCCATATCTATACACGAATCCTAGGGGTAAGATTTTGACATGAATTTCGACCCAAAAATTTGTGTTCAGATTTAAATGCCAGATTATTCTAGAGGGAAAACCATGAACAAAATGCCAAGCCTCATGAAAATCGGTTGATTTTTGGCCGAGTTATGGGGGTGGGAAATTTCGACCCATGTCTATATAAGAATCCTAGGGGTAACATTTTGACATGAATTTGGACCCAAAAATTTGTGTTCAGATTTAAATGCCAGATTTTTTTAGAGGGAAAACCATGAACAAAATGCCAAGCCTCATGAAAATCGGGTGATTTTTGGCCGAGTTATGGCGGTGGGAAATTTCCTCCCATATCTATATAAGAATCCTAGGGGTAAGATTTTGACATGAATTTCGACCCAAAAATTTGTGTTCAGATTTAAATGCCAGATTATTCTAGAGGGAAAAACATGAACAAAATGCCAAGCCTCATGAAAATCGGTTGATTTTTGGCCGAGTTTTGGGGGTGGGAAATTTCGACCCATATCTATACACGAATCCTAGGGGTAAGATTTTGACATGAATTTCGACCCAAAAATTTGTGTTCAGATTTAAATGCCAGATTATTCTAGAGGGAAAACCATGAACAAAATGCCAAGCCTCATGAAAATCGGTTGATTTTTGGCCGAGTTATGGGGGTGGGAAATTTCGACCCATGTCTATATAAGAATCCTAGGGGTAACATTTTGACATGAATTTGGACCCAAAAATTTGTGTTCAGATTTAAATGCCAGATTATTCTAGAGGGAAAAACATGAACAAAATGCCAAGCCTCATGAAAATCGGTTGATT